TCTCTCTTTCTTCACTGCCTGTTCAAACCTTTTCCATTCATTAAGATTCAGTTCACATTCTCTCTGACCACTCCAGGTCACATTACTGCCCTTCCCTAAACAGTTACTTATCTACCATTTATATAAGGCAACAGAGTACTTATTTACATGTGGTTTTATTCTCAAATTGTGGCAGCAAAATTCCTCAAGGTTAGAGACAATGTCATAATCTTTTTTTTTTTTAATTCTTACCTGCTTTAATTTGAAACATCAATCTACATTTATTGGATTGAATACTACTCTTTAAAGTTTTTCTCAGACCTTGAGATACATTTATACCTTAAATAAATTAAAGAAAAAAATACATTTTCTTAGTTAGACAATCTAGTATAATGTTGGGCACAATGGTATGCAACTGACATCTTTGTTAAATTTAATTAGGAGGTGAGGGGTTGCAGCCTAATATCCTGAACATTTTTCCTTGTGCCAGGCAAATGACCTTGGTGTTTTGCATGAATAATTTTATGTAATTAAATGTAATAAAATGTGAATCACATGTTAACATTATTACACGTCTGGGAGGTGAAAATAAGATATATTATTTTTATCAACTTATAAATGTTGGTTAAACTGATTTAACTACATAAGAGTCTATTCCTCAGAGTCCTAACTTACTGTCTTGACCCACCCCATCACCATAAAAATCTCAAACTTAAAATATTCAGTATATTTTATAATATTGCTAAGAATATTCTCCAATAATTTATAGTGATAAGTATTTTTTAAATATGCTTACAAAAATTATCAGAAGCATCTAAAAATGCTTTCATTTTATGCATTTAAATTATGCCATGGAATAAATAATAATTTACTGCAAAACAATTATTTTATCTCTTTCTGTGGTGTCTTCCCTTGTACCTGAGAGTTTGCTTTATTCATATTAAATTCACATGACTGTCAAAATATTTAACTGTGGATGCCAGAAATATTTTTCAGATCAGGGCAAATAGTTAGTGGAATTTTTTTTATTATTTTTCTACAAAAATAGTTACTGGAAAATATTTGCTAAAAATATTCATTGTGAAATGTGGTAGAATGATTTAATGTTGGAACCACAGCTTTAACTCAAATACTGTTGGCATCAGTAAGTACATGAGTCATTAAGTGGAATAAAAAAGGTATAGCACTTATCATTCTTGAATTATTAAAAAGATTTTAGAAAGATACAAATTTAAACAAAGTAGCTTATAGTATACTTGTATGCCTCATAATATTTGGCACATTGTAACAATAAGTGGAAACTTTTTTTTTAATCACATTACTGTATGTATGACTGTCAACATTTCCAATGGTGAGATTTAATGAGTGATGGGGATAAGTTACTTGTATGTTAGTCTTTTGTAACAGGCTCAACTATCACATATTTTAAATATTGACTCATGCATCTACCTATCATCTGGATCTCTGCCTTTATGTTCACATGGTATTCTCCCTGTATGAGTGCCTGTCTCCAAATTTCCCCTTTTCATAAGGACACCAGTCATATTGAATTAGGGCCCACTCTAATAATCTCATTTTAACTTGATTACCACTATAAAGACTCTATATCCAAATAAGGTCATATTCTGAGATACTGCGGGTTAGGACTTCAATGCATAAATTTGAGGGGACCACAATTCAACCAATAACACTAGGATTATTGCCACTAGTAAAGCTTTCTGGATTTCCCAAATATCCTTGAATTTCATAAATGTCTTTCATACCAAGTATCCTTCATGCCAAGTCTATAAAATATTTTCATTAGTAATACCTCTAATTAAAGATAAGTATCTTAATTCAATAAGTAAACAATTGAGATTTAGCATATCAATTCAAGGAGATCGTCATTAATCTAGTATAATTACTTTATGGGCACTAGTGGGGATAAATGCTCATACAAGCTGTGGCATTGTGGAAAGACTTGCGGGCTGGAAGTTAGGAAATACAGAACCAGGTCCTAACTCTGACATTCACTCACCAAGGGACCCTTTACCATCTAGACTGCCACTGCCTCTTCTCATGGAGTTTATATGGTCTCTAAATTACAGAACATTCTCTGATTCCTATTCTATTTGTACTATTCTTTCCTATCCCCACACACCAGTATGAGCAACAGAGAGATAATGACATAAATAGACAAGCAAATTTGCAGCATCCGCTGACAGACAGATTTTTAGAAGTGGAAGACTTTTATCTACTGCTCTCATTTAACAGACAAGAAAATGGAAGCCTCAGGAGGTTAAGTGACTAGTCCTAAGGCACTTATAACATCATTCCTAGCTTGAATAACTTCAAAGGGGCAGCGGTCCTTAAATTGAATCCACAGACGTAGGGGTCCCCATGGATGAACTTCAAAGGTCTACATACCTCTTGAGAGTTTGTGTGCAAAAACTGGTGTGAATATGCATGTATATATTTCATTTTTTTTTCTGTTGGAAGGAGTCCTTAGCCTTCACCAAATTCTCAAAAGGATCTCCTTTGTTCAAATAAATCCTTAGCTCCTATGCTTCAATGCTTGGCATATAAGAGATAATTGGTAGCCATTAGTTGACTTATGTATATTGAATTCTTAACCAAGAAAAAGTTAATAACCACTGAAATAGAATAAAGTAGAATACAGTCATTCTCTGGAAATGATCCTCACTGTTTCCTGTTCTCATAATGTTCTCATAATGCTCTACCCGTGTGGAGTCTTTCGTCGCCCTGCAGTTCCAAGTCCTAGATGAATTATGCAATATGTGCTTGTCTACTAAACCAATTAAGAAAGATATTTAAATCACAATTTCATATCCTTTAGGAAATTATCCATCTTTTTATTTAACTTTACTATTTTATTTAATTAACAAGGGTTTAATGGCAGTTAATAAATGATATATTAATTAATTTAGGGAATTACTTTGTTATTTCAATTAATCTTAATTAATTAATCTTAATTTAAATTTTTAAATGCCTGTAATTTTCATTGGTCCCATCAAGTAAATCTGAATCTACAGTCAATTAAATCTGAGTTACCTTACTTTGCCATTAGTCCAAGTACTAGAAAAAATCCCCAGAGTATTCAGGACATGTGCTGGAACAATTATCAAAACAGGACTTTGAAAAAGGCAGGGTAATACCTTAGGCACAAAGCATGTGGTATTATAAGCAGAGAGCAGCAACACCATAGATTAGGTGCTCAATAAATATTTGACAAATCAATGAAAGAAAGAAGTAGCAGCTAATGCTCCCAAAAGGACAGAAGACCCTCTTGAACAGGTGATAGGACATCCATCAGTGGATGATGGAGGGTGATGTAATGGTTGAATCTCTATCAGAAAGAGCATGTGGTATTGTGGGACATTAATAAATGGCACCAAGTTAATGATGATCAATGTGGACATCAAATACAACTATCTGTATATAGTTATTAAACATTTCTTTTTGGTGACTTATTACTAAGAACTTGCAAATATGGAAGCAACCCAAAGTTCCAGAATGGGGCCTCAAGACAGAAGAAGTATAATACTCTGCAAGAAGCAGACCAGGCCATTTGTGCTGCAGATGGGTATGATAATGAGTTACATTTTTCTTAAAAACCTACAAATGTTATTTGCAATAATTTATACTCTTCAGAAGCATTTACAAGTGATGATTCACTTTGTCAATGAAGATTAAAAGCTGTCTTCTTTACAAAATTAGGTCTTACTCATACTTGTTCCCCAATTCCAACAAAGAGTAGCTGCTTAAGAAATGACTGGATTTACACTTATACATTTATTTATACTTATTTATTTATATACTTATAAACACTCTTTATTAAATATACTTACTTATGCTTTATTAAATATACTTATTTATACTTTATTAAATATACATATTTAATAAAGAGTGTTATTAAATATAATCAAGAAAGATCCTACAAAGTCTTGCTATTCATCTTATCTAGCTTGCTAGACTACCCTGTATCACAAAGAGTGGATTTCTCATCTTAGAAACTTCCCAAAAGAGTAAATTATCAGTTTAACATCTAGGTACCATCTAAAAATTAAAGAAACTAACACAGGAATTCTAGGTACTCCCTTGGTGAGTGCCAAGACAATAAGGATCTTCCTGTCTTTATACCCCCTGGAACAAAGATTCTTGATATTTTAGAGAGAAAAGAATCAGACTTTCAATGAGACATCAAATTTAAACCATTTATCTTATCTGAAGCTGACATTTCTTTGTGTTGAGTGTTATTTTCCTAGCAGCTGAGAATGAAGTCTTGGCAGAAACTGTGGATGCTCGAATAAGGTATTTTGTTGTTGCAAATTCTATTTTAAACTTATTCACATTATGACCCATTCCTTCGGTGGAAGACAAGGCACTTCTTGAAATGATGTTGTAGAAGGATATTTAATAAAAAAAGAAATGCCCGTTTTAATTTTTTTCTTTTTTATGGGATATTGAAAAATATTTTATGTAATTAATAAAAACAAATAAATATGGTAGATATAAATTGCAGAATTGTGGACTGCAATTCAGAAATACATTCCAATATTTGTGCAACATTATTACACAGAAATATTCTTACTTTCTAAACTTCTTCCAGCTACATCAAGAGTTGTTCTTGGTGGAAGAACAGTATGGAAATTTTTCAGGGTGGAAGAACCTGTCTTAATGACCACAGGAACGTATGGATATTTCCTCATAGTTAATCCAAGCAATTGCCAGCAACAACCCTAAAAAAAGACTATGGATAGCTGAGTATGAAAAAACGTGAAGTTCTTAAATGCACCATCTTCTATACTAACATATAAAGATTATTTAACTTACAACTTCAAAAAGGAGTTGATACTACTGAATCATTTCAGGTCACTGGGTAACCTGTGGTCAGGTTCAACTAGCCCCCTAGCTCTAGAGTCCATCACAAATATGAAAGTCATTTAGAGTATTTAATCATCGATTGTAGCTCTCTGCCCGAATTTTAACTGAAAAAGTTAATGCTTCTGTTGTGTACTTACACATGTGATGAATACAAGGAAATGAGAATTTAAGTTGTCAGAGATGATAGTTTTCCCGGCCCTGAAAGAAAAGAGGGTGTGGAATTCAGAGACCACTGAGAAAATTTATTTATTCATATAAAAATTATGACTATTGTGTGCTAGGCTAAAGATAAAACGAGCAAGGCAGAGATAATTGCTAATTGTATGGAGTGATATATTTTCTCCCCACAGGTGATTTCTGAGCATCTTCTATATATCAACATTGTAGATTTGGTGGTGGTGGTGGGAGAGTGGGGGAGGGGAGGACCCATAGTGCCTAGTCTTGAAAAGCAACAATAAAATCTATTTGTGGTAGAGATATTGAGGACACACAGCATTAAAAAAATGAAAGGAGACAACTACAAGACATTATTTAAGTAAACGTTGCAATGGCCTAGGCCGAATCATTATTTAAGAGTAAGATTATTTAAGTAGAGAAGTTAGACTTCAGTGCTCTGACACATATTTCCTTTCTGTGGGTGTCTGTGAGGCTCCCCGGCACCCTCCTGAGGTCTCCCTTTGACATTCACCATCCACAGCCTCAGAGTCAATCCAAGGCCAAATAACTACAGTAATTTGATAAACTAATTTCTACTAAAGTGTCATGGGAAATCGTTTAGGGTATTCTCCTAAATAAAAAATAAGAATTTTAACTTCAGCCCTGTGGAAACACGGAATAACAACAATGCCTTGTATTCTCATTGTGCTAAGTTATTCAAACATCAGTGCATGTTAGTGTGTCAGGCAGTAAAGGGCTATGAAGATGAGTAAGATGCTAACCCCATCTATGGGGGGCCTCATTGCTGTCCTCAGCTATTCATATCTGAAGCCAACACCTCTATAACTAACTTGTGTTGATATTAATTTCCCTGTTAATTGGCTTGTTTCCATTTATTCTACTTTATATGTGTCATATTTGGTTGTTTCACCTGTTACAATCCAACTTCCTTAGGAGCATTCCATCTCCTTAAAATCAGAAACCATGTCCTCCAGTCTTTTAGTCTTTTTTTTTTTTTTTTAACTCTCTTTATTCCATCTCCCCAGTCCCCAAGATAGTACGTTTTAAGCTATGGCTTTCTATCAAATAACAGATCATGAAAGCAATTTGTAAATCTCCTATCAACATCTTTATTTAATTTTTTAAAAGATTTTTTACTTTTAAGTAATCTCTATACCCAACGTGGGGCTCAAACCCACAACCCCAAGATCAAGAACCGCTTGCTCCACTGACCAAGCCAGCCAGGCGCCCATCCTATCAACATCTTTAAATGAAATAGAATAGAACCTAAGAGAAATGAAAATTCCAGAGTGCCTCACCCAAGGTGAAGGTAAAGATCTTTGTAGAACTCTGATACAGTGAGGGCTGTGTGTCAGTGTGTGTTAGGCTAAGATATAAAATGTAGTTCTTACTAAATTGTGGTCAGAACACTTGGGAAACATGGTCAGGTATTTAATAAATATTTGCCTGAAACCTTTTACAAATTTATTTGGATCCCCCTAGCAGTTGCTCCCAGGTTCCTGGCTTATTTCCCTTTGGCTTTGGCTGGTGGTTTCCCATGTTGGTTCCAAGCATCACCTGATGACCCCAGTTTCGACTCTGCCTGCTCCTTGGATCATAGGCTGACCCCTGCACACTCTCATCTACATCAACCCAGCATGGTGGATGCCTCTTGACACCCTTCCCCCACCCCTGCACTATACCAGATGCAACCTTGCGCCAAGAAAAAGCCCAAAAATGATGCTGGCAAAGCTCCTGGTATACATAAATGCATACACTTGACTCTTTTAGGGGGCAGGGTCTAATACCTTCTTTCTATGTTAAAATAAAGACTTTACTATATACGGGGGAGAAGACTCAGGAAATTAACAGTTTTTAGAGCTGCCTAGGAGTAAAACTCTAATTCATGGAGGAGGAGCACTTAAACTTATGATCTTAAATTAGCAACTCAGTCAAATTTTGAAACTAGAGCAGAAAAAAATCAGCATTTTTGAAGAAATAAGTCCTGTGAGAAAAAAATTCTAATTACTAGTTATTATCTGAGGTGATAGTTATTATAATAAAAATACTATTTTAAAAGGTCAATTAGAATCAAAATTATACTGCAATTATACTTTTCCTTATTCTTGCTTCATACATAAAGATATAAATTGAAAATTAAATTAAGTATTCTTATATTTTTAAGAAAATTCCTAATGCAGATGCTTTGCTTTTAAAATGGCCTAGAATGGACTTTCTTCTACAATTATTTTGGTCAAAATACAGAAACTAGTTACTGGTTTGGGGGAAATCTGTAGCTTTTTACATTGCTATGATAATAATCTACATTTTCACATATTTGTACAGTCATAACATTCTCCCCATAGTTTGCCCTGGAGCCATAAATGACTATGTTGGTGCCATCAGTTGTTCTTATGACATCTGGAAAATGATCATTATCTTATTTGCTGCCATTTAGCCAATGTAGAGAAAACAACTTACAAAGGCTGTTTCTTTTACAAGAGGCAGCTGTAACTTGATGAAAAACTGCCAAGGATTCCTTTTACTGGATAATCTATATTAAGTACACACAAGCTGGAATGGAGATGCCATGGAAAAATTGAGGGATATCCTGTCTCCCCAGCATAACTATATGAATGGTCCTACTGCCTTGGCTTGGAAACCACTGAACCTTGAAAAAAGCTTGGTGAAGAGCTATCAAGGTATCTATGAAGTCAGAAGGGAAGTCCTCGAATAAAAAATACTAGCACAGTTGAGAAATACACTTTTGCCCATTTTCTAGCATCAGTACTAGTAAGAGTGTGTAAATCAGTGAGAAGATAGGTAGGTAGGGGGCTAACTTACTAATACCAAACCTCTAGTGATGGTTTGAAGCTGATCCGAGTGCTTCTGAGGGTTGAACTGGTCCATAAGTCACAGCTCTGCCCTGACTCAGTTCTGCATTCCAGGAGAGCAGAGACTAGCATGTGGGACATGGCAAGTATCCGCTAAATGTTTGTAACAGTTGGCTTCATCTTATAGACCTATCTTTGTTCTCCTTTCATTACCATTTTCTCATTTATTTCCTATTTCTTCTATAGGTTTCCTTCATGGAAGGGACAGGAAGGCTTATAAATAAATACTACATAAAGAGAAGTGAAATGCTATTAAAGGTAAAAGGAAGAATGTAAATAGTGAGTGCCATAGAGGACTTATAAACCAATGTGCTATGGGGTCTCAAAGGATGTAGAAGTCAGACAGAGCATCCAGGTGAGGTTTCATGAAGAAGTGATTTTGACATGGTTATAAGCAATGCAAAGGAGTGTGGCCAGCAGAGAGGATTCTGAAAGATGAAGACAGCCAAGTGTAGTTCATTCAATAAATTTTACTCAGTTATTTACTGATTCTAAAAGAGAAGCTTAGAATGCAAACCATGACAATATAACCTGGAGTATCGGCATAAACAACAGTGAACCAGAAAGTCTATCTTTTCTTTTGGCCATGAAGAGAATAATGAGAGATTCCTGTTGAGAGAGGAAAACAAATTTATCAGAATTTAGAAAGATACTCCAGGCTATTATCTGAATTTTTAAAAAGCATCTGTAATTTCTATTATTCATCTTATGGTTGTCTTAGTCTATTCAGGCTGCTATAACAGAATATCATAGACTGGGTGGCTTATAAACAACACAAATTATTTCTCACAGTCTGGAGCCTGGAAAGTCCAAGATCAAGGTGCCAGTAGATTCAGTGTTTGGTAAGGACCCACTACCTTGTTCACATAGGCCATGTTTTTTGCTGTGTGGAATGGGGAAACTCTGATCTCTTGAGCACCTTATAAGGGTACCATTTCTATCCATGAGGACTCTACTCTCATGACCTAATACCTCCCAAAGGCCTCTATAAAACATCACATTAGGGATTAGGTTTCAACATATGAATTTGGAGGTAGGGGAGAGACACAAACATTCAGTCTATAAAAATGGTCAAAGTCAAATTGTATTACTTTCCAGTCTAACAGTTACTACTCTTGGTCCAATAGAACCCACTTATCATCTCCTTATATCTCATGCTCACCTCCACCTGACTGCTTGAACCTCACCTGAAAGTAATGTCCACTTCTAGGACATCCTCTGAGGTTGTAGAAAACTAAGGCTGTCTTGTGAGAAGGATTTCCTAGGCTTCCCAGCACTACTCAAGTCCTCTGAGATTTGCCTTTACCTTATGGAGATCTGGCACATGATTATACCTGCCATGAACCTGATGAATTCCAGAGGGTGAAGCTTCAAGGACCTTCACCAGAAGCTTCACCAGACACTTTTATGTGTACACCCAAAGAATAAGGCCTTGAGGAAAAACTGGAGTCCCTTCACTGCCTGTCCAGGCTCCTTGGTGAAATTTGGTTTCCTGAGGACCATTCATTTGCTCCAGTGGCTGCCATACAGTACAAGATCCTTCTCAAGAGAGCCATCATCTGCTGCTTACCCACGAGGGTATGGCCATACCTCACGACTTCCATAGGCCGTCAGACAGGTATACTACACATGCCTAAATCTTTCATTTGCATCGAGAGAATGGGAGTTAACCACCACACTCATCTGTAGTCAGGATGCTTGATTGATATCTTTTCTCTCAAGATCTCACCTCCTCTAGTTTCCCACAGCACTAGAGCCTTGTTTTTAATGGTGCAGTTCACTGGAGCCCTAATTTCCACACCTAGAACATTGCAGTCTTATTTCTCAAGACAGCATCTTGCTTCCTGAATCCCTTCCTGATACACTTTTTATACAACCCTTCTAAATCCTAAAAGCCCTGCTTCCCAGTCTTGTCTTGCCTCTTGAGTAAGAAAATTTTAATTCTGATTCCAGACTGGATTGCACTAAAGCAGTCTTTTCCAAAATTACTTAATCATAGTCATCAGGTGCATTCATTAAAAATACAGAATTCCAAGCCATCTCCTAGAAGTTCTGGTTCAGGACATCTGGGGTAGGGCCTGACAATGTATTTTTAACAAGTACCCTAGATGATCCCTAGGAATTTTTTGGCATTTGGGAAAATACTGAATTGGAGTTTGCTGTGCCTTTGTAGACCTGATAATTTCTAGTCTCTTTCTAGAGGGCTTGTCAACACTTTTGTCCCAATTAATTTCTCTGGTTCCAACCCCAGCCAGCCTCAGTCACACCCCTCTTTCTTACATACTCCCAGCATCTCTTACAGTCAGGGTCACCCTGACCATGACACTTCTTTTACCCAGAATGACCTCCTTGGCCTATGATTCTGTCACTTGCCTGAGAACCATCCCTACCAGAGAGCTCCTACCCATACCTCCCCAACCCCTTGGGTCAGTTTCCTTGGACATTGTTACAGGACCATAGCAGAAAGGAATTTCCACACTTAATGGACATGGTGATTTTTATCTCTTCACCTCCCTCAGAGGGCACCAGCTCTTTATACCCATTACCTTCTTTTGGCCCTTGTTGGCAACTTCCTCTTTTCTGGACAGCCTGTGATGTAAGCAGCCTCTTTATAATTCTTATACTTCAATAAGAACAAAAATGCTAATTCAAAAAGATATATGCAGATATGGTGGAGTAGGAGGATCCTGAGCTCACCTCATCCCACAGATACAATGCAATAACACCCACATCAGTGTAAATAACCCAGAAAATGACCGAAAGACTGGCAGAACAGACTCTGCACAGCTAAATGTAGAGAAGAAGGCACTATGAAGATGGTAGGAAGGGCAGAGACACAGATGGGAGGCAAAATGTCCGCAGGACGGGGCGCCTGGGTGGCTCAGTCGGTTAAGCAGCTGCCTTCGGCTCAGGTCATGATCCTGGGGTCCTGGGATCGAGCCCCACGTCCGGCTCCATGCTCAGCGGACAGCCTGCTTCTCCCTCTCCCTCTGCCTGCCGCTCTGCCTACTTGTGCTCTCTCTCTATCTCTCTGCCAAATAAATAAATAAAAATCTTAAAAAAAAAAAAAAAAAACCGTCCGCAGGAGGGATATCGAGAGGGGAGAGGAACAGACCTCATACTGGGCATCCCAGGCACAGAGGATCAACACTGGGAAGATGAATTCCCATAACATTTGGCTTTGAAAACCAGAATGACCTAACTTCATGAGTTCTTACAATCAATGGGGCTTAACACCTGGAACTTTAAAAATCAGTGGGCTTGGCTCTGGGAGAACCAGAGGGCAATATGAAAGTGAGTCCCCACCCTTAAAGAGATAGCACAACAAGTAGCTTGCCAAGATATAGCACAGAAGCTGCAAACTGAAAACCACCTGGGTATATGGGAGGGAGATTTGTTTACTAATATCAGAGCATGTGCAGGAGGGGCAGGGATCTTTGGGAGACTTCTCCAGAAACAAAGGAGTTGGTGGGCACCATTTCCCTCCCTGCCTGTCGCCTAGACACACAGACACTTGCAGGAACCAGAACAACCCAAATACTCTCCACCTAGCTTACTAACAGCATACTCTGACCTGTCCTTCTCTTACAGCCCCACCTCCTCCAATATACCCTTGGCAAGAGTCCATCCAAAGTAATGCCACAAGCCTGGCAGTGTGCAAGACTCCCAACAGGGACCAGCACCACTACAAAATGACTCCTACCCTGGGGAGAGGGAAGATAAACACACATACCAGTCTGCCCCAGCAGTGGGCTGGGGCAGACATCTGGTCTGATGGCAGGCCCCCCCTACCAATGAAAACATCTCAGAGGATAACACAGGGAGAGTGATTCAGTGCTTCCACAGCTCTGACAAATGCCTGGTCTGACCCAACTCAAGTCCAGCATGGCTCCAAACTGGCCCACTAACAACATAAGGACAAAATCCTACCCACAACAAGCAAAGACAGCAATTGCAGATGACTGAAGGCAAACGTGGTTCAGCCACAATAGTAGGGTGCACATAACATACACAGGAGATACCTCTGAAGTACCAGGTTCTGGTGAACAGGGGATATTGCATTGCAGGACACTAGAGGACCTCTTCTTCATAAGGCCACTCTTTTAAGAGCAGGAGACATAGATGATGTTCCTAAACATAGAAACAGACACACAGAGAGTTAGACAAAATGAGAAGACAAAGGAATACATCCCAAATAAAAGAATAGGACAAAATCACAACAAGAGAGCTAAATGAAATGGAGATAAGTAATATGCCTGATAGAGAATTTAAAGTAATAGCCATAAAGATACTCACTGGACTTGAGAAAAGAGTGGAGGACCTCTTTTGAGACCCTCAACAAAGAAAATGTTGAAAAGAACCAGAGATGAAGAATTCAATAACTGAAATTAAAAGTACACTGGAGGGTATAAACAGTAGACTAGAGGAAGTAAAACAGCTCAGCAACCTGGGGACAGAGTAATGGAAAGCAACCAAACTGAACAGGAGAGAGTAAAAAGAATAATAAAAAATGGAAATAGATTAAGGGAAATCAACAAAACCATCAACTGTAATAACATATGCATTATAGGGAGGAGAGAGAAAAGGGGGCAGAAAATGTATTTGAAGAAATAATACCTGAAAACTTACTGAATCTGGAGAAAGAAACAGAAATCCAGATCTAGGAAGGACAGAGATTCCTCAACAGAATCAACCCAAGGAGGTCCATACCAAGACATATAGTAACTAAAATGGCAAAAAGCAGTGATAAAGAGAGAATTTTAAAGGCAGCAAGAGAAAATAAAACAGTTACATACAAGGGAAATACCATAAGGCTATCAGTTGATTTTTCAGCAGGAAGTTTGCAGGCCAGAAGATAGTGGCATGATATATTCAAAGTGCTCAAAGAAAAAACTACAACCAAGAATGCTGTATCCAGCAAGGCTATCATTCAGAATAGAAGGAGAGATAGCATTTCCCAGACAAATAAAAGTTAAATGAATTCATGAGTACTAAACCAGCCCTACTAGAAATGTTAAAGAGGACACTTTGAGTGGAAAGGAAAGACAATAAGCAGGAGTAAAAAAAAAAAGTAGGAAGTACAAAAGCAGTAAAATTAAGTACATATATAAAAATGAGTCAAGGGATTCACAAAATAAAAGGATGCTAAACTATGATACCATATACCCAAACTGTGGCAGAGAGAGGAATAAAAATTTACTATTTTTAGAATTTCAAACTTAAGCAGCCATCAACTTAATACAGACTGCTATTATGCATAAGATATTGTATATAAACCTAATGGTAACTACAAACCATTTGAGAAGAGAACAAAAGAAAGGAACAGAGAAGAACTACAAAAATAACCATAAAACAACTAACACGATAGCAAAAAATACATACCTATCAATAATTACTTTGAATAGAAATAGACTAAATGCTCCAATCAAAAGACACAGGGTGATGGAATGGATAAAAAAAAGCCAGACCGGGGCGCCTGGGTGGCTCAGTCGTTAAGCATCTGCCTTCGGCTCAGGTCATGATCCCAGGGTCCTGGGATCGAGCCCCGCATCGGGCTCTCTGCTCAGCAGGAAGCCTGCTTCTCCCTCTTCCATTCCCCCCTGCTTGTCTTCCCTCTCTCGCTGTCTCTCTCTCTCTCTGTCAAAATAAATAAATAAAATCTTTAAAAAAAAAAAAAAAGCCAGACCTATCTATATGGACCCAAATAGATAAAATCACAAATGAGAGAGGAAAAATAACAACCAACACCACAGAAATACAATTTATAAGAGAATATTATGAAAAACTATATGCCAACAAATTGGAAAACCTGGAAGAAATGGATAAATTCATAGAAACATATAAACTACCAAAACTGAAACAAGAACTAACAGCTAACACGGTGGCAATAAATACATATTTATCAATAATTACTTTGAATGTAAATGGACTAAATGCTCCAATCAAAAGACACAGGGTGATGGAATGGACAAAAAAGCAAGACCTACCTATATGCTCCCAGAAGAGACTTGTTTCAGACCTAAAGACACATGCAGATTGAAAGTGAAGGGATGGAAAAGGGAAGTGAGAATAAAGCTGGGGTAGGAATATTTATATCAGACAAAATAGACTTTAAAACAAAGACTGTACAAAATACAAAGAAGGACACTATGTAATAATAAAGGGGACAATCCAACAAGAAGATATAACAATTGTAAATATTTATGCACCCAAGGTGGGAGCACCCAAATACATAAAGCAGCTAATAACAAACATAAAGGAAATAATCAATAGTAATACAATAATAGTAGGGGACTTCAGCACCCCACTTACATTAATGGATAGATCATACAAACAGAAAATCAACAAGAAACAGTGGCTTTGAGTGATACATTAGACCAAATGGATCTAACAGATGTATTTACAACATTCTATCCTAAAACAGCAGAATATACATTTCTTTTCAAGTGCACATGGAACATTCTCTAGAATATATCATGTTAGGCAACAAAACAAGTCTTAACAAATTCAAAAAGATCAAAGCCATACCATGCATCTTTTCTAACCACAACACTATGAAACTAGAAATCAACCACAAGAAAAAATCTGGAAAGACCACAAATACATGGAAGTTAAATACCATGCTACTAAACAATGAATGGGTCAACTAATAAAACAAAGAAGAAATTAAAAAAAAAAACAGGGAGACAAATGAAAATGAAAACACAATGGTCACAAATCTTTGGGATTCAGCAAAAGCTGTTCTTAGAGGGAAGCATATCACAATACAGGCCTACCTCAAGAAGCAAGAAAAATCTCAAATAAACTACTTAACCTTAACACCTAAGTTAAAGGCATTAGAAAAAGAACAAACAAAATTTCAAACCAGTAGAAGGAAGTAAATAGTAAAGATTAGAGCACAAGTAAATGAAATATAAACTTAAAAAAAAAAAAAACCTAATAGGACAGATCAATGAAACCAGGAGCTGCTGCTTTGAAAAAATTACCAAAATTGATAAAACTCTAGCAAGACTTATAAAAAATAAAAAAGAAAAGACCCAAATAAATAAAATCACAAATGAGAGAGGAAAAGTAACAGCCAACACCACAGAAATACAGTTTATAAGAGAATATTATGAAAAACTATATGCCAACAAATTGGACAACTTAGAAGAAATGGATAAATTCCTAGAAACATATAAACTACCAAAACTGAAACAGGAAGAAATAGAAAGCTTGAACAGACCAGCAAAGAAACTAACTAACCAGCAAAGAAACTAAATAACCAGCAAAGAAACTAAAGCAGTAATTAAAAATCTCTCAACAAACGAAAGTCCAGGGCCAGATGGCTTCACAGGCAAATTCTACCAAACATTTAAAGAAGAGTTAATACCTTTTCTTCTCAAACTATTCCAAAAAAATAGAAGAGGAAGGAAACCTTCCAAATTCATTCTGAGGCCAGCATTTACCCTGATACCAAAACCAACTAAAAAACTACAAAAAAAAAAAAAAAAAAGAGAGAGAGAGAGAGAGAGAGAGAGAACTACAGAATAATATCCCTCATGAACATAGATGCAAAAATTAGCAAACCAAATCCAACAATACATTTTAAAAAGCATTCATCACAATCAAGTGGGATTTATTTCTGGGATGCAACTGTGGTTCAATATTCACAAATCAATCAATGTGATACATCAAGTCAATAAGAGAATGGATACAACACATATGATCATCTCAACAGATGCAGAAAAAGCATGTGACAAAGTGCAACATCCATTCATGATAAAAACTCAATAAAGTGGGTTTAGAGGTAACGTTCCTCAATATAATAAAGGTCTTATATGAAAAACACATAGCTAACATCATACTCAATGGTGAAAAACCGAGAGCTTTTCCCCCCAAGGTCAGGAACAAGACAAGATGTCCACTCTCATCACTTTCATTCAACCTAGCACTGGAAGTCTTAGCCACAGCAATTAGCCAAGAAAAAGAAATAAAACGCATCCAATTTGGTAAGGAAGAAGCAAAACTTTCACCATTTGCAGATGACATGATACTATGCATAGAAAACCCTTAAAGACCCAACAAAAAACTTCTAGAACTGATACATGAATTCAGTAAGGTTGCAGGATACAAAATCAATAGGCAGAATCCATTGCATTTCTATACACTAATAATGAATGAAGTAGAAGAAAGAGAAATTAAGAAAACAGTCTCATCTGTAATTGCACCAAAAAAAAAAAAAAAAAAAAAAAAACCTAGGAATAAACTTTACCAAGGAGGTGAAAGTCCTGTACTCTGAAACATTAATGAAACAAATTGAAGATGACACAAACAAATAGAAAGACACTCCATACTCATGGACTGGGAGAACATTGTTAAAATATCCATAGTACTCAAAGCAATCTACAGATTTAATGAAACCCCTATCAAAATACAAGCAGCATTTTTCACAGAACTACAAAATTTTTATGGAACCACAAAACCCCGAATAGCCAAAGCAAACTTGCAAAAGAACAAAACTGGAGATATCACAATCCCAGATTGCAAGATATACCACAAGGCTGTAGTAATGAAAATAGTATGGTCCTGGCACAAAAACAGACACACAGATCAGTAGAACAGAATAGAGAGCCCAGAAATAAACTCAAAATCATATGGTCATTTTAGACAAAGGAGGCAAGAATACGAATTGGGAAAAAGACAGTCTCTTCAACAAATGGTGTTGGGAAAATGGAACAGTTACATGCAAAAGAATGAAACTGGACCACTTTCTTATGCCATATACAAAAATAAACTCAAAATGGATTAAGGACCTAAATGTTAGAGCATAAAAAGCCTAGAAGAGAGCACAGGCAGTAATTTCTCTGACATCAGCCATAAAAACATTTTTCTAGATATATTTCTGCAGACAAGGGAAAACAAAAGCCAACTATTGGGACTACATCAAAATAAAAAGCTCTTCACAGCAAAGGAAACAACCAACAAAACTAAAAGACAGCCTACTGAATAGGAGAAGATATTTGCAAATGACATATCTGATAAGGGGTTAATATCCAAAATATATAAAAAGGTGATGCAACTCAACAACGACAACAAAATAATCCAGTTAAAAAATGGGCAGAAGACATGAATAGGCATTTCTCCAAAGA